GAGTATTAAACACCAAATTCGAATATATGAATATTTAATATATTCCAGCAATTTGAATAAGTACATAAATGACAAATACGTCTCGTTGTTTATTTATTAATTCGTCATCGTATGAAACTTGTTCGTCACGAATTAACATGAAATGTTAGGCGCACGTGACTTTCTGAATCTACGGAATTAAGCTTACATGTAATCTTTGCTTGACTCAAGGGATTTATGAAGAGATTATATAGAATCAAGACTTGATTTTGGAGATTTCAAGGATCGACTTAAAGACTACATCCTTAAGTTCCATGCTTGTAAGAAAACATTTTCGACAAGTTAATTTGATTAAATTTTAATTGCAGCACAATTAGAGAGATAGCTACTACAGGTTTACGAACTCTTGTTATCAAATTAGGAGAATTTCGTAATAAGGAGTATAAATAATTTTATTATTATATTTTACAAACAAATGAATCTTATTATAGTCTGCAAGTTTGCAAATTATTATTTTAATATTTGCATTTAATGTGATTTTTAATGAATAATTTTTAAAACAAATCAAAACTACTATTGTTAGTGATATTGAAATATTAACAAGTATCTGCACGCAACTGACTTGTGTTCTAGCGAATGTGCTGAAGAGTTTTGCAAGTAAATGTAATTGTAAATATGAATTTTCCTATTTAACTTTGTTTATATGGATTGCCATATTTTGTATTATTTTGTATAAATTATGCGCAGTAGGCAGATAATAGAGTATATACTCAACACGTTAGTCCCTATGTCAGTCATATGTGTCTGACGCTAAGAAGTTCTACATGAAGTTCTACATGAGTCAGACATATATATGTAAAATTAAAAACAATGTTTTTCCAGAAATGTTAGCACATAAGATTTTTAATATATGGTACTTTATTAGCAAGATACGCTAAATTTCCTTGATACATTTTTAACTAAATTATCTAATAAAGTTACCATCGCTAATGTGAATCTTTTTCTGATGTTGTAGCGATTATCGTGGTAAATAGATATAGATAAAAACAATAAAAAATAATAATAATAATAAATTATATTGATTTTGTCTTAAAAGTGTTGTTATTGATACTTTCTAATATAGATATTGGCATTTTATTATTTAGCATGACTACAATTGTTAATAGAGTCAACTTCGGTAAGCAATTTTTTCAATTGTTACGGGTTAAATCGAATAGCAATTTCATATTAAATAAGTTTATATTAATTATATACATTAATTTTGTTTACATTAAACATAATTTATGTTATCTAAACGGCATATAATTGAATGTTAATGAATGTAAGAAGCGTATATTGAAGAAAATTAAAATCGTTTCAAATTTTATAAAACCTAACAGGAAAAGCCTGAAGATTTTTGAAAGAATTTATTAAGCTTCAACGCCTTCCAAATTTTAGACGTTTCTAGAGACTTTGGGGACATTCAATAACTACGTGATCGATTTTTTAAGAATTTTTGGACCCTCCTTTTTCTTTGGTGATATTTAAAATTACGTCCCTTCCCCCACCAGACATCACATGCATTTTTAGTTGCGAGCAAAAATGGTAATTTTTTTTATATTTTTAAAAAAAAATTGGATTTTTTTTTAAATTCAGGTAAAATGATAACTTACTATACACCTTCCTCCCCCACATCATGTTGCGTAATTTTTTGTTAAACCCTCTCTCCCACTAAAAACCCCACGTGATTAAATGGACGCCCTCTTTAGTGTTCGCTCAGAACAGTTTTAAATAAATAAAGCTGGCTATAAGGTTCTGATCATATTAATTAAATATTTGACAAATGATAGTTATTTATTATTTCTAAATAATTAATTATGAATGATCTATATTTTGAAAATGCATAAAAAATGCACTACGAAAAATCTATGTTATTAAATTTATGTTATTTCAATGGAATATAAAATCTTTGATAAACGCTGATTGATGAAAGTATGAATGAAATTGGTAATCCAAAGCTTTCAATGAATTTTGCGTTGGATTATTAATTAATTCGATGTGTAATAACTAGGTTTTATACAAACATATTTTATAAAATAATTATAAAATTCTAATTTAATATTCGTAATCCATTCAACACCGTGCTATCCGCTTGCATTTGATGTGACACTACCTCATATTCATCGTCAAAGCCTAGGTGAGCGTCTAGTACACATTGATCGTCACAATTCTGACAGTTATTACTTCCGCCACGTAATTTAACACAGTTTCCATAGAATACTTGTTACAATTCTGAATAATTTATCGTGTAATTATCCTTCTACCTACACTGCACGTCATTTTCAATATGTTCGCCTTTTACAATTTCCATGTACCTATTCTCTTTTTTAAATGTCACTGTTGTAAAAAACGTACATATTGTTCTATAGCATATGTATATAAAAAATTAAAATATTTATATACATATATTTTAATATGACAGTATAAATAGTGCATTCTTTTTTGCACTATTCATTAAATAATATTAAATTTACAATCCCAGTGCCCCATAACGTTTATATAGGTTCGTTCCACATGGGTTTTACCATATCCAATACAGTTAGATATTTATTTGATTTTGCAATCTATATCGAGTACAGAAAGCAATATTGAAAATTTAATGAAAAATACTTTTTCATACCCAAACACATGAAAACTTTATATTACTTTTATAATGTGATTTACCTATAAGCTGCATTGCAATCGGATTTTTCTCTACGGCTATCTGCAGATTCTAATCTACAGCAAAAGTTGTTTGAAATATGATATTTTATGTCAGAACATATATTTTCAAAAGCATTTGTTGCTGCCGAATTAATTCAAAGTTATTTCAGAGCTATTGATACTTGTTCCAATCAATGGCACTAATGTTGAATGAGGAATATATATACATTTAGAGTATTTTCTATTATTAAATAGTTTATTTCAAACGACAGCTGCTCTTTTGTCTTGTTCAGATGCTTTTGGAAAATAGATTTTTATAGTTTCACGTCAAAGGTAACACGACCGCGAAATGATTCATGTAGCTATAAAATTCACAACAAAGATATATGATGGTAGTTCTTGCCTTTTTTCTTTGTTCATTTTTAATTAAAAACGTGCAAAGTTAAGCTCATGTTTGGGGTAATAAATATTTTAAAACAATATCATTTTTTAAAAAATTGCACATTTTGCAATGTGGAACTTTTCTTCAAATATTATTATTATTATCATTATTGACTCACTAGCTCTTACTTAAATACTAAAAAAGCTCTTATTTAATAGAAAAATAGATATATTTGTTGTATTTCATTAAAACTGTTTAAAATTGTGAAAATTTATATTATATAGATATTGATATTTCATTACAATCATTTGATATCATAAATTACTAATAAATTTTGTTATTACAAAATCAACTGTGAAGAAAAAAGTTAGGCTTTATGTTCTGGTCTGAGTACTCATTGACAAATATCTAATACCGTTTATAATAGGTTTTAAACAACATTACCTATGATTATTTCAAAACAAAAAAATCATTACAACTTAAATAAAGCAATATTTTTAGGATAAAAGCTAACTATAAAATTGAACACAACAAAACTTGTTTACACGACAAAGCTTGTTTTGTTTCTTTTGCTCTTACTAGTGTTATATTTAAAAAATATCACAATTTAATTAAAACAGGTCAATCAAATTATATAAGGTCAATCGCAAATTTAAAATTGATTACTATATAAATAATACATTCAATTTAAATACAGATTTATTTGCATCCCATATGCATCCCTAAAACTATGTTTGGATATATATGTAAAAGATATGCAAGGGATATAAATAAATAAAATACATAATATATATATATATATATATATATATATAATTTAGAAATATGAACAAACAACGCTTTTTTGCACCATTTATTAAATAATAATTTTACAAACGTTTCGAGACTAGGTTTGTCTCATCATCAGTGTGTTATAATTTAAAATCTAAAATATGGAAAAATAAATTAGCATTATGAAAGTGCTGCAACATATTGTTTCCTGACACCAGTTTACATTCAGCAGGTATCTTTAATAAGGATTTCCAATTTGTACATATGATGAACTTATTTTTATGCAAACTATTATTACTTCTCAGACATTACAAATATAAAGTGTATGTGAAATAATGTATTTTAGGAAGATGGTTCTACGAGCATTTTGGGAATGTCTGAAGCATTTTCAGCAAGAAAGGAAGACTAATTTTCTAACTAGTTCTAAACAGAACTAATAACATGCTTTTGTGGTAACATGTTTTTATTCTACATCAGTACCTTTACTTAATGACTTACTTATAGGTAACAAAAATCAGGGACATTAGGTATATGCTTCCAATTATTACATAATGGTAATTTAGATTTTCATGTTTTAGATTTCAAATTATAACACACTGATGATGAGACAAACCTAGTCTCGAAACGTTTGTAAATTTATTATTTAATAAATAGTGCAAAAAAGAGTGTTGTTTGTTCATATTTCTAAATTAATATCTATCTACTCAGAATACATTGGCTATATATAAATATATATATATATATATATATATATATATATATATGGGTGTTCTGAAAACTTTCTGAACTCAACAAACTTTTCACCAGTTTTCATGTATGTTTATATGCTCAGTCAAACCTGTTGTTGTGCGATCCTTTTTTATGCAATTTAGTTTTTGTGCGATTTTTGCCAGATATTCTTGAACATGCTGAACATAAATTATTCAAATTCAATTTTTGACAAATACAACTATTTAAAACATAGGGAAGACAAAAACAATTTGGTTTAGAAAAGTTTATATTATTTATTTGGGAGTTTGCATACAAACTATTTGAGAGCTGCTATTTTGCACAGCCGACAGTATATATGCTGGAAAGCCTGAATTCCAATATATTAGAATTTCCATTCAACAAGTGAGCAGGAGCTCCACAAAATGCGTCGTTTTATCATGGGTTTTATTTGATCGCATTACTGAATTGTTTTCAGATCGCTGCGCTGCGCCAGAATCACGATGCACATGAATTTATTCGCCTCTTTCGGCTTGAATAACGCCCTTTGGCTACTCTGGTACAGAACCGTCGTCGCAGATCCTCAGGTTATCATCGACAACGGGGTAAGTCACCTAAATAATAATTAATCTAAATTATAATATATATTTGATTTGATTATTCTTTAACACGTTAACCGTCATGTCAGTCCAATGTGTCGGAAGCTAAGAAGTTCCACATTAGCCATGTTATACATATATACCTGCCATTTGGTGCAAAGTCACGTCAATAGCCACGGCAGTATGTTTTGAAAGCTTTGCCTAATAGGAACAAAACCTGAAAACTTTGTTCAAAAAAATTTGCCAGACATATAAAACTGATACGGCTTGTCGAGAAAAATAAATTTAATATAGGTCAATGTCAGTTATATATGATTTTTTGCAAAAATATTATTTTTTATACATTAAGCTTCCTTGGTACATTTTAAACTAAATTATCTAATAAAGTTACCATGGACTATGTGGCAATATTTCTGATATCGAGGCGAATAACGTAACACGAGATCAACAAGAGATGAGAAAAATACATTGATTTCACCTATAATAAGCTAGTTGTTTAATTTCACAGGGAACCAATATATTGTATTTACCAGCATAATTCTATTCTGAAAAATGTAGCATTATCATGTACCTTAAAATCGTCTGTACTCCTTTTCTTTTTAATTTTTTTTATTTACATTTTATTTAATAAAATATTAAATACATATGTTTTTTGTTTTGGTTGCCTACGGCTGTTTCTGATTACTACTTCACTTTATCAACGAATAGCAAAGCTTTGTATTTCTTATGATTGCAAAACAAATAGAGAAAGTTGTTGTTTTCACAAAATGATAATAATTCATGTTACTTCTCTTGAATTTAGACGCATTTCATAAACAGTAGTTTTTCATAATGAACATGCAGAATGTTTTCAAGACTTAATACAATTTACTAACGTTTATATTTGTCCATTGCTAAATTGATTCTAATCAATAATTAGAAATATTTTTTTTAATGAAGATAATTATTATCATTTCACCATTGAGTAGTCAATTTTTATTTATTGCTATAACGTTATTACCAATATCGTCTAAATTAAATCTACAAATGATATGACACTATTTATTCAAACATTTATTATGATGGCAAGACATATAGATTCTGCAATTGATGATAATTTATATTACTTCTTTGGGAAATGTATGTATTTTATTAGAATAATGGATATTTATCGAATTTTTGAATTATTTTCGTACATAAATAGTGAAATATTTATTGTCAATTAAGGACTATGTAATAAATATATATTTCATTAAAATTTAATTTAGTGATTTTTTTGTTATATACGCTTTAGGTTGCCTATTAAGAAATATTATGAATCCATTTACTTCTTAAATTTATAGATTTTCAAAGGAAATTCCGATGGTTTGTTGGTTTCATTTCTTTCAAAAGGGTTCTCTTAAACTTACCTGGATACAGAATTAATTTCCGGAAACTTAGAAAAATGTCCAAACGCAAAGATCATAACGTGGCGATGTTGCTTTCATATCTCCTAATGTTTGTTTATTATTTATTTTATTCGCCATCGCAAAGTTGTTGCGATGTTGAATCTTGCAATGATTACATAAGAAAATAAGATTTTGAATTTTCATATTCGCGCTGCATTGCTGATAGTTATAATGCAATTTTACCTCCATGTGCTCTTTAACTAAAATTTTCTTTTGATGTTATCTTTTACTTCTGCAATATTTTTCTTCTATTTGGATACGTAACGAGTTCGACGGAAATATGAAAGTAGGAAAATTCTACGAAGGATGCACTAGTACAATTTCTTCTAGCGCGTGTAAAACACCAACTTTTTTTTAAGAATAATATATATATATATATATATATATATATATATATATATATATATATATATATATATATATATATAATATATAATATAAACTACTATATTTGAATTGAAAATTTGAATTTGAATATGACATACGTTGAATTTTTGTAAAATTTGTCCAAAAAAAATGAAAAGTAATCTTCATGATAATATGGTACGGTACAATGATAATTTTTCAAAATCGAATGAAATTTACAGATCTTTATATAAAATCAAAAAATTGATTGTTACCTAGACTAAATTAGCTTATCAAATAATCTATTATGTATGCAACACTTGATTGCACAGCAAATCCATAGCTTTTTGAAAGTTCGTTACTACCAACTCATATGAACATAGACCCCTAACATAGTACTACCACAACATTTGTTTTTTATCCAAGAATTAGACCCTAAATTTGTAATTTGATTGGACAAATGTAAGTTTATTTTATACATAGTTAGCATTAGGATATAAGCTGTGATATTTTAACTGTTTATGTCTTATTACACTGAGTGTTTCGAATAAGAATAAAAAAATATTTTTAAACAGATTTGTTATTTTTAAAATGATCTTTAAATATCAACGCGACATGAAAAAATAGGTCCTACTTAAAAATAGATTGTAAAAAAGTGTTTTCATTTACAGTTTCATTTTAAAAATTATGAGTTTATAAGGTACTTCTTTCAATTCTTTGGAGATTATTATCGAATTTTTCAGTACAAGGAATTGAAGAACTATTTATAAATGGTAAAAAGAATTTTCTATATTCCCAAAAATCCTTAACTGTATCTGATAAATCAAATCAAAGGTCAATAATAAACATTTTAAAATTTATTTTATGGTCAAATTCATTGATAAAAAATAAATCAGGCAAACAGCAAAAACTGATTTATATATAAACAAAGACATTATAATATTTAGAGTAGAGCAATCTATCAAATAATTTATATTTCATGGCTTCTAGTATTTAATATTGCTTGGAAATTTATATTATTAATGTGCAATGAGGAATGCTTATAAATAATTTTATATATTTAGGTACGAAAAAAAAACTTGGATTGAATTATATCATTCTAGAAATTAGTGATCCTCAATGGAGGGTAATCTACCAAGCCAATTTTTTATACTCACTACTTGGGTTAAATACTTATACAAATAGCTATAGAACAAGAACATGTTCTGATTGCTGTTCAACAATGTCAATTTTTATCCATAACAATGAATTTTATTAAACATTTAATTTTGAATGCTCTTAAATTTCAGAAATATGTAAACTTATAACTTATTAGAATGTTTCCAAATCAATCTCTGTTTTCTTCCTCAGATTGGCTGTCGAGTTTTGCACGTGATCCTCCACTACTTCCTCCTGACGAACTATTCCTGGATGGCTATGGAAGGCCTGTATCTCCATACCGTCCTGGTGTCGGCGTTCGCCAGCGAGCGTAAATTATTACACTATCTGATACCCTTGGGCTGGACGGCTCCTGGGATTGTCATAACATTGTATGCGGCACTTAGATCACAATCTCCGCCGGACACGGAACAGTGAGTGAATATTCCTTGCAATAATATTAATATAATCGATTGTGCCAAGGGGGAATACATAGTTGGATATGATAGTTAAGGAATTTAATTGGTAAGATAGATTGTGATTAAGATGACACCATAAAGGACAATGGATTTGTTCTTACATATCATCAATTGACCTAAATTGATATGTGGCACCAGTACTAAATTAGTATTCTCCTCTTCGTCTTTCTTTTGATATATTACAAGGAAATAGTGTTCAAGATTTGCATATCGGCAAGTTGCACTTTCAGTCAATATGAATTTCGAGAGAATTATCTTACACGTTGATGCAAATTAGCAACAAATACTAAATTTGTATTGTACATTTCGAGCCCTTTCAAATGATATATCACATGCAAATTAGAGTTCGATAATTGCCTTTAGGCAAGTTGCACTTTCATATCAACTGAACTGATTTTAACTTTTAGTTAAAGTGATTTAGTTACTACAAATGATTGATAATATAAAATCGGTTAATAAAATGATGAAATTACGAAATACATGTTTGAGGTAGGATTGCAAAAATTTAGGGTTTCTTGATTTGATGTATTTTTAAATACCGAAAAACATACCAATGAACCAGATTATTATGTCTGAACATTACTTATAATTGATGTGATATTTTTCAAATTTCATGTTTGATAATTATAGTACTCGACTCATTACCATATCACATTCTGTTCATCATTGATATGAATTTCATGAACACTCGTTTATATATGTAAAATCTTGGCGAGCTTGATAATCAAGTAAAAAAAGGGAAGATATAGATATCTAAGCATATTTATTATTCACACGTTTTGACATAAAATTATGCGGCATTGTCAGAGGATACCACATATCACCAAAGGGGGGGGTCCTAAAATCCTTAAAAAATCGATCACGTGATTAACGCTTTAAGGATAAATATATCGTTCCTATCTAATTTGCACTTAATACTACAACTATCAGTACTTTTTAAATCATTTTTTTTGTACGAATGATTTTATACGCGTCTTTTTTCATTATTTCGGGTTTTTAAGATTGTTAGTATCTTTTACGTCTGTGCACCGAAGAAGGGTCAAATGTGAACTCGAAACGTATGCATGACTTATTAAACAAAATTTAGACAAAACTTTTCAATAGATTTTTAATTGTCGTATTAGAGTCTGTTTAAAAACTAGTATATACAGAAAGTGAGATCTATCTCGATCTATCTCAAGCTAACTTACCTTATAAATTTTTTTTTATCTCGCCTAAGTTTTGTTTACATATGCTCTGAGAATTTATTTTAAATATGTGGTTTTGATTAAAAGTGTTTCAGCACTCACTCTTAATTAGATTTATTCGCAGAGAAAAGATTAATCGTATAAGAGCTAATACCTAATTTGAAACGTCGATGTTTTATGACCAAATTAATTTAAAATGCCAATAGTCGTAAAATTGGGTCATGTGCTAAAATACTCATTGATATTCTGTGATTGTTTTGTTAACTCAGAGGAATTACAAATTTATTTTATTTTATTTTACACCCAAAAAGCAATTAATTTTAAAAAATCCTTGCATTTTGAGAAAAAAATAAAATATAACATGTATGTCTACTATTTAAAATTCATCGAACCTTTACATCTAAACTTCCTGCAAATAAGTATTTTCTAAATATATAACATGATACGTTGAAGTGAAAACCTTCAATAGGTTTAAAGTTAATAAAAGCAAAACTATGTGAAGGAGAATCAGCGTAGATTGTGGTAAACATGGCCAGTGTACAGTGCAAAATTTACAAAGATCCCTTTTTGTGTCAAGTTTAATTAAATTCTGTTTATACGCATAAACTGCCCATGCAGCAGCAATTCGATCTGCTCCAAAGCACGGCGGGATCAAAAACTAAAACTCATTTGTGACACATTCTATAATGTGGAAATGCTTGACCAAAATTCGGTGGTAAATATTTGATTTATACCACATACATAGTGTAGTTTAACAAATCCGTATATTTATACATAGATATATGTATAGAATATGAGTTGAAATCCAAAACTCGTGAACATAGAGATTCCAAAGTGGATTGTAATGATTGTGATTGTTGCTATATTGGAAAAGGTTGTCAATATATTTCTAATAATAAGAGTAAACTTATAAATACATTCATATTCTAATAACATTATACAAAATTTCTCTTAAATGTTTCTTTGAGAACACTTTTAATACCAATCATTCGACCATCCTTTATAATAAAAAATGACCTTAAAAGTTAAAAATATCAGTTACATTATGAAATTTAAATACGTTGATTGTAGTTGAGATGTGATGAATATAGTAAATTTGATGATAATGAATTTCATTTGCTATGTTATAATTTTATTCATTGAAAACCTAATGAGCATAATTAAATTTTCCACCAAAACCCACGCATTTAAACCTTTATCTTATTCTCATTCACGGTGTATATGTAAGTATGAATTTATAAAGGCGCATATATTTTATGTGTTTCGTGTCACGTATTTTATTACATATATAAGTTACATATATTGAGATTTATGCTTGTCGTATGTCAAATTTACATTTTGGATGATTCATATACCTACATATGTGGATTAAAATAAACATACAATATGTCTATAATTTTGTATAAATTTTATTTTTATCTGGTGTTTTATTTATATAAACGTTTAAACCAATTAACTACTTAAAATAATATACATCAAACGAAATTATGTAAACTATTGATGGGAATCTGTTAATATACAGTATGGGATAATAAATTCTAACCGTCGAAATAAATTGCGATAAAATGTATATTTTAGGATCAGTTTTGAAGATCAACTTCTTGGATATAGTATAAATTAATAATTAAAATGTTGTTACTATGTTTACAATTAATAGTCATTATTAATTCAAGCTGGTAAATTAATTAATTCTGTTCTAATTGCGGTAACCTTATAATTTATTACAAAAGTACTGATGTTCACTGGTTTGATGGCATTGAGCAATCATCTATCTTAATACATCATGGTCAATAAATAGATCTAATAGAATGTCTCGTCTCGTACAAAATCAATCAATTTCTTATAAACCAAGTGTTGCTGGAGATAAAGTTCTAGTAACGTCTGTCCACAAATTGATCAAATTTATGACATAAATCATGAATCGTCCTCAACCTAGATACAATTAAATATTAACATGGTAAAAGAATTTTTGTTTCCTAATGAGCATTACTAATTAATTAGTTTACCATATTTTAAAAGTCTCTTACTAGAATCTAAACCAACAGTTTGCATCATATTCGCAATCAACTGAACAAACAATGTGGAACTAAAATAATTAGAAAAAATAAAATTCCAAGATTGCATATGTCAACAAAAGCGTTACTTTATGAGGTAGACCTATAAAGTTTCTTGTAAACATTTTGTCAAGCGTATTCATAATAACGAACTGAAAATTATGTTAATCGACATTTAATTTGCCATTAAAAAAACGCTAAATGGTTTTATTCGCCAGTTCACGCATAATATTCATTGTGAAATTCTCTTGTTTATAAACTAGTATCTGGTCAGGCGTGTTTTGTTTAAATTGTTTACATACTTATTATGTAATTATTTACATTATTAAAATTAGTTTGAATAATATCTCTTCACTAAAAATAGCAAAACATTTACTTGTCTGATAGACATAAAAATAGTTTATATTCAGCAGCCTTATTAACTTAATAAAACTATAGAGATAATATACTATAAATATTAAAAATACTAGTTTCAAAGATAGATATAAATAATAAAAATACTAATGTGTGATTATATAATCTATTTATTATAAATAAAACCTTTACTTCTAGTTGCCCTATTTATATTAAAAATAAGAACTATATTACTCCATGATACGAGGTTCTGTACTGTGGTAATATATATTTTTTTGATAGCACGAATAACAACAACAGAAATAAACAAAGATAGCAATTATTTAAAAAAATGCAAATGTGCACTGATTATTTTGTGTTAGGATAAAAAAGAAATCCATTGACCATCTAGAGGTCTAGACATTTTTTTACACATGACAGTCAGTATTTAATTGCGTTTTTTAATAATAGTTACTCTTATCGTTATTTCTGTTGTTGTTTGTTAAGTCAAAAACGTATAATACCATAGTACTCATTCTCATACTAGAGAGTATTAGTGTTGTTATTTTTGATACAATGATATCTACATATATATAAAAATAAATCGGGTTCTCCTTCCTGACTATTTAACTCCAGAACGCACGAACCGATTTCGACAATTTTGCATTCGTTGGTAAGGGTTCGGGATCCGCAAGGTTTATAGCTAAGAATGGTGCATTAGTGGTGCATGACATCGTGCCTTAATGCAAATTGCTGGAACTTCAGGCACCGTAATTAAAAATTCGAGTAATTACATTAGTGAGAATTATCAGAATTATGTTTGGTTAAGTCAACGAGCAATTCTTGCCGCAAAGAATAATGATGTACACGCACTGAATTTCACCATTCAATCAAAAATTGCTGGCGATTTGGTGACATACCAATGATTCCGACTGGTCTTCCATTTGACTTCAAACAATTACAATTTCCAGTTCGCCTTGCGTTTGCAATGACAATTAACAAGTCGCAAGGTCAATCGCTTAGTGTTTGCGGGATAAATTTCAGATAGATTATTTCGAAAATCATTGTTTTTCACATGGGCAGTTATACGTTGCCTGTTCACGAGTTGGAAAACCATTCGCTTTGTTTGTGTTAACATCAGACCAAAAAACAAAAAATGTGGTTTACTAAAGTGCACTTCAATGAAACGGATAATTTGCGGATTCACTTTCATTTACTTAGAGAAGTTCAACTAAAAACACTTCATTTTTGTAATCGAAATAATTCATTTATTACTGTTGTGTAATAAAATCAAATTTTTCCTTTTCAAATATAAAACACAAAAAAATTCTTCATCTTTCTCGCGAAACCATCTGGTGACGAAACGGAGTTCGTCGGGTTT